CCGCTGAGCCTGTGCGTCCGGAGCCTGTGCTCCGCAACGGGAGAGGCCACAACAGTGAGAGGCCCGCGTACCGCAAAAAAAAAAAAAAATTATTTATTTGGCTGCACCAGGTCTTAGTTGCAGCACGAGGGATCTTCGCTGCGGCATGCAGGATCTCTTTAGTTGCGGCAAGAGGGATCTTTAGTCGCGGCATGAGGGGACTTTAGTTGTGGCATGTCAGGTCAGTTGTGGCACATGGGATCTAGTTCCCTGGCCAGGGGTCGAACCCGGGCCCCCTGCATTGGAAGCGTGCAGTCTTAACCACTGGACCACCAGGGAAGTCCCTATATATATCTTAATGGGACAGCTCAGTGAATTTTCATAAACTGAACACACACCCAGATTGAGAAAGAGAACATGACCAACACGCCAGAAGTCCCCCTTGTGCCCTGTGTTGGGGTACCCCAAGACTACCCACCCCCAGTTCAATGATTCACTAGAAGACCCACAGGACTCAGCATATAGTCCTACTCACAGATGGCTATGATTTATTACAGCAAAAGGCTATGAAGCAAAATCAGCAAAGGGAAAATGTGTATAGGGCAAGATCCAGGAGAAACCAGGCACAAGCTTCCCAAAGTCTTTTTTTAGTGGAGTCACACAGGACACAATTAATTCCTCCAACAATGACTGTGACAACATGTGTGAAATGTTATCCACCAGGGAAGCTCATTAGAGACTCAACGCCCAGGACTTTTCTAGGCGCTGGTCATGTAGGCACCCTCTGTGCCTAGCACACACCAAAATTCCACATTCCTGGAAGGAAAGCAGGTATGCAGCATCAACCACATTGTTTGCACAGTTTAGGCCCTGTGAGCAACTCTTATCATTTAGGGAATGGTGAGAACCCTCCTGAAATCCAAGAACCCAGATGCCAGCCAGGGCCGACATTGCGAGCAGGCCTTTCTAAGGAGAGCAGTCTCAGGCCTGCTTAATTAGCTCTCTTCTGCACAATCCACCTCCTTGGCCCTTAAGGGCCAAGTCCACTTTAGAGCAGAATTATTATCAGTAGGACCCCATACAAAAGGGTGAGACCAACCTGCAATATGGATCTCAGTTATGCCTTTCGTTCATGGAAAGGCAGCACTGGGAGCTTCCTTTTCCTTTGTTTCTGAGAAACAAAGATCATAAATGCCCCCCACCCCCACCCCGCCGCCACCCCGCCACTTCCCCAAAGCTCCCTAGCTGCCAGGTTCTGTTTTTTCTCATTGTTTCAAAATCAGCATGCCCCGCAGATCAGCAATCCTAACTTTACATTTTTTCAATCATCTCTTATTCTCATCCAGGCCTTTCATCCAGAGACCTGTATGCAAGAGGTACAGAATATTTTTGCAGATAAATATTTTAATACAATTTAACCAGAAAGATATTCAGGAATTGATCAGGATATGTTATGGACTGAATTGTGTTTTCCCCAAATTTATATGTTGAAACCCTAACGTCCAGTATAGAATGTGACTGTATTTGGAGATATGGCCTTTCAAGAGGTGATTAAAGTAAAATGAGGTCATCTGGGTGGGCCCTAATCCAATATGACTGGTGTTCTTATAAGAAGAGATTAAGACACAGACACTCACAGAGGGGCAACCATGTGAAGACACAGTGAAAAGGCTGCCAGCTGCAAGCCAAGGAGAGAGGCCTTAGGAGAAACGTGCCAACTCCTGCTCTTGGATGTCTAGCCTCTAGAACTCAGAGAAAATACATTTCTATTGTTTAAGCCATCCAGTCTGTGCTACTTTGTTATGGCAGCCCTAGCAAACTAACAGAGGGTGAAATCCTGAATTTAAAAAATTTCAAAGTGGGTTTATATAACCTCCCACCCCTTTTATCCAGAGAAAGCCTAGAAAAGATCAATCCCTTTCCAGAGACAGATACATCTGAATAATCAATCTACCTTACTAAGGTGTGTGTAGAGGGGGAAACGTGAGGAGGTAGAGTAAGGCTATCAGCCCATCGTAGTAAGTTGCAGCTAATCCAGAATGCCAAACACACAAATCAACAGCAGTGAGCTGCCCCCCAGAGAAGGCCCAGAGTCTGATCTGCCAAAAGCAGGTAGAGGGGTCGAAGTCCCTGTGACATGTCCTCCTCCAACTTGCAGATTTTGGTAGGGATCACAAGTTAGGATGCAATTAGCCTCTGCATTAGATGTAAAGAGCTGATCAGCAGCTTGATTTTAGATGGTCCCATCAGAGAACAGGCCCCTTCCTATGGGTACTGTATGTGACCCAGTTGGTGCAGCCAGCATCCACGACGTATATTTTCATCGTTTAGAGCTCCACAGAAGGGGTCGTAATCTCCAGTGGTCCCAGGGTCTGAGTCCTGTTCACGGAGCCTGGGTCTGCTTTCAGCTCAGCACACCTCCTGCTGCGGCTGAAACAGTGCATGACAGCCAGGGTCAGGTTTCAGCTTAGAGTCAGGTCCAAGCAATTAGGATCAGTGAATTTGGGATTCCAATCAAGCCAGGTGCTTTCAGGAGCAGCAAAGGCGTGCTGCAGTGCCGAACAGCCACGGTCCAAGTCCAAGTGACAAGCAAGGCTTCCTTTTTATCTTGTCAGTCTCAGAGTCCAAACTGACCCACTCAAAAACATGCACATCAAACTGGACAGCCATCAAGCTCTAAGGGTCAGATATTTGATTTCAACACGGCTTATTATCAATTTAACTGCTTTTTCAAAATCCAAATGTGTATTTCCATCCAGAGACTGCCTCTTTTTCATGTTGTTACCCTCTTTCCAGAGGCTCGAACAGACACAAATCATAGCAAAAATCATCAGTTACAGAGACTTGTTCTAGTTCTAATACCCAAAGAATTTAAATTCCAACCCACCCCTTGATGGTAAAAGCAAGGGAGCTGTACCCCACCAATACCTTCTTCATTTTTGCATGTTTGAGATGGTTCCTCTAGCATTTATGAAATTATAAGCATGTAACATTTTAAATCAATTTTATCATATATCCAGATACAAGAACCACAAAATACAAAGCCATTTTTTAAAAACTTCCCTTTTTCTCTCACTGCAAATTTACACAAACCCCTAGTAGGAAATTCAGCATTTATAGGGCTATCATTACAGGCCTGCAGTGTTAACTCTTTTCTGCACAGGCCCCCTTTCAATTACAACGCCTCAAGGGTATCCACTATCATAAGGTATGATTTTTAAGGAATGGATTCAACCAATTAAAAAAAAGTCAGGGAACTCCCTGGTGGTCCAGTGGTTGGGACTGTACTTTCACTGCTGAGGATGCGGGTTCGCTCCCTGGTCGGGGAACTAGGGTCCCGCAAGCCGTGCAGTGCAGCTGAACAAAATTTAAAAAATTTTTAAAGTTAGACTGTTTTTCATTCATACATTCAAAGGCCTGTTGAGTACCCACTGCATGTATGTTTTATTTATTCCATTTAGGAACATTTACTAAAAAAATGTGAAGCACTGAAGAAACTTTAATTCCCTTTCATCCTTTAACAGCTGTTTTCATACTCCCTTCTAGTCCTTGTCAACATGGACTTTCAATTTTATATAGCTGCAAGTGTGCCATGTTAATACAATCTATTTGCATGGTACCAGTACTAATAATACTAACAGTGAGCCCTATGGGCTTACTATACGTCAGGCACAGGGCTAAGAGCTTTACAGAGATGATCTAATTTAAGCCATACAAAGACCCTAGAAGAAAAGGATTACTACTCCCATTTGAAGATGAGGAAATGAGCACTTCTACATTAGGTTACTTGCCCAAGGTCATGTAGCCAGGAGACAGCAGAGCTTGAATTACAACCCAACTCTGCTGACTCCAAAGCACACCTGTCTGTACACTGCCTCTCAGGGCCTTGTTGTTCTGGCAAGAACCAAATCCCAGACTCATTTGGTTCACTCGCTCACTTGCTCACTCACTCCTACCAAAAAGCAAATACGATGTGTTGGTTAAGCTCATGAACTTAAGAAACCCTGGGTTCAAACGCTGTGTGACTTCAGGCAAGTGACTTAACCTCTCTGTGCCTCAATTTCCAGGTCTATAAAATGGGGATAATTACTGTGCCCATCTCCTAGGATTCCAACTAGGAGATGACATGCCTATCTCCTAGGGTTTTTGTGAAGAGATTCTATGAGGACAGTACTTCAAACAATACCAAGCACATGGCTGTTGTTGTTGTTATTATTATTACTACTGAAATAAAAAGAACCTGTACCTATTCCCAGGGAGCTCAAGAGTCTTCAACAGAAAAAAAAAAAAAAGAGTCTTCAACAGGACTTTTCAGTTCCTGGGTCTCTCATATTTCCTTGTTCTCCCCTCTCCTCTGGCCATACTGCTACCTCAGGCTCTTGCTACTTCCATCAAAAATCAGAAAGTGCACCCAGCAGACACCAAAGGCTGAGATGAATGCAGCTGAAGAGACAAGTTGGCAGGGCCAAGAAAACCCACGGGCTTCAGACCTAAGGTTTGAAAGTCAGAGGTGTGGACTCCATTCCTGCATCTCTCTTTCTTGAATGATTTTCATATGCATGAACCATGTGCCTGATGCCCAATGGCCTTGGAGATACAGAACAAGCTATTTAGTCTCCTCGGGGAAGCAGGATGTCCTGTGCTACCTCTTCTCACTTCAGGGTCCAAGTCAGAGTGCATAATGAAAGCAGGTGTGGCCAACCTGCCAGCAAAAACTTCAGGAAAGCAAAGGACTAACACCGACAGAGCAGAAAGTGCAGTCCTCAGGGCCAAGTGCTTTGCTGCATAAAACATGGACTTTGCAGTCAGATAAGACTTGGCTTTGGGGCTTCCCTGGTGGCGCAGTGGTTGAGAGTCTGCCTGCTGATGCAGGGGACACGGGTTCATGCCCCGGTCCGGGAAGATCCCACATGCCGCGGAGCGCCTAGGCCCGTGAGCCATGGCCGCTGAGCCTGCGCGTCTGGAGCCTGTGCTCCGCAACGGGAGAGGCCACAACAGTGAGAGGATCGCATGGCACAAAAAAAAAAAAAAAAAAAAGACTTGGCTTTGATTCCAGCTCAGCCATTTATCAGCTGTGTGACATTGGGCAAATTTACTTAACCTCTCTGAAGATCGGCTCCCTCGTCTGTATAATGGGCTGTAAAAATCCCTACTTTTTTGACAGTTGGGAGGAGTAAATGTTTTCTAATAAGTGCCTGGCACCCCATAGATGCAAAGCAAGGAAGGGTCAATTCTTTTTCCCAACTCCTCTTTCTGGTGAACTGATTATAAAGGGAAAGATGGTCTTAATTAAAAAAAAAATATATATAGGAATGCTGCACCTTATACAATAAAGAGTTTCACTTTCTAATAATATCAATAGTATAAGGTATACCTAATAGTATAGTACACCCAGTATACTTTAAGGTGTATCATTCCTAATAATAGTAGTCGTAACTACCATTTACTGAGTGCTTACCCGGAGCCCGTACTCACGCGTCTCATGTACGAATGCATTTAAGCATCATAATGACCCCTACACATCTTCCCCATTTTAAGGATGAGAAATCTGAGGTTCCACAAGGTGAGATCACTTGCCCAAAGTCACAAGGCTAGAAAACAGCACGGTGGGATTTGATCTGCTGCACCCAGCACCCACACTCTTCACCACTATGGTGACCCTCAAGAAGGGCCCCTCAGGCCTCCATCAGAGAACTCTGTTTTGTTTTCTGGGCTAAGCTGTAAGATCCCTATGGGCAGGGACTGGCTCCGTCTCATTCTCCACTAGGGCAGTGCCTGACACTCAGTAAGTATTTGTTACATGAATAAATGAGTGATGTAGCCTGTGGTCAGGGCGCCCCCCCCAGCCCCAAGGGGCAGCAAGTACACATTCTACAAAAACACAGTCCCATCACTGGGGCTCTAGAAGTGTTTCAGTGATCATGGACTTATGGGAACCGGTCCAAGCTGGCAGGACATTTTGCTGACACCTGTTCTGAAATAACCAGGCCTCTGAACACATTGCTCCAATATTGCCAATGCCATTTCAAGGGTCTCACAGCTCCACAGCAGCTACCTATAGGATATCAGCCAGCTAGATGTGACCCCCTAGTTTTGTTAGATGCAATCTGTCCTGGCAAATGGCTGAGGGTGAGTCAGAACGTGGCTGGAGCTCCATGTTCTGGACACACTGTGGGCTCACACCAGCCAGACCAAGACACCAAGGGAGGCTTCCCTAGCCATCAAGATTGCTGCTTTATAGCTGAGAAACTTCCAAGGATGTGTTAATAGGAACAATGTTTGTCTGATTCATTTCAAGTCTGTCATCACCCCGATGGGCCAGAGTCACTAAGAAAGGCACTGTGGCCTCGGCTCTAAGTGAACTGGCTCATGCAGAAGTGACTAATTCAGAAGCCACCACAGATCCCAACCAACCACAAGGGCCCTGTGCAGCCACGTGAAACAGAATCGGTCAACAGGAGGCTCAGTCAATTGTTCAACCTGTTCCCTGCACCCAGGATCCTGCAATGTGAGACTTATCTGGGGTAGGGTGGGGACCAGGGGTAGGGGGACTCACATCCAGGTAATCAACCATGAAGTATGTGCCGGATACAGACAGGCTCATGCCTGCCTCCTCAGGAGCTCACAGATAGCATGCACTTAGACAAGAGCACAGGTACATAACTAGAATTCTACCGAGACCTTGACAAGGGCCCTTCCATAAGGTGCTATGGGGCCCATGAGGAGTTCCAGGAAGAGGAGCATCCTCCAAATGGCTCTTTATTGAACACTCCACTTTGGCTAAGCAACATCCTCTCTGTGCCCCCAATCCAGGCCCAGGTACCCCTCAGGAGGTACTCCCTAAGACCAAGAGTAGTGAGAGATTGGGCAGGGGATAAGGCTGGGCAAAGGAGACATCTGGAGAAGGGGAAAAGGTCTGAGCTAGACACCTGATGATTTTTACTGCCTGGCACCCATTCATCTCCTCTTCTGGTAAAATCACCCCCACCACAGCCACCAGGCACCAACTCTCAGTCCATGTGGGTATGTGCCCCAGGCCCAGCCGATCAGTGTATTCCATCTTCCTGGCCACAGTGGTTACTTGAGGCTGGATACCTCCAATCTGGACCAGTGAGAGCCAGGTCCAGGGGTTCTGTCAGAGAAGGGGAGCTCTTTCTACCAATAACTGGAGCTGCAGCATCACATTGTGAAGGCTTGAGAACGAAGCCAACTCAGAGAAAAGCAAAGTCAAGAGCTGAAGAGAGACAGGTCCCTGATGACGCTTTTGTGAGTGCTGGGATCCAGCACAAAGGCAGCTCTAGACTTGGCCTCATCAGCTACATGAGCCAATAATCCCCTCTCTGCCCTAAGCCAACTGGAAAGAGTCCCAACCAAGGTCTCTTCCATCTCCACTCTTCTAGGAGTATTCTGAGGACAAAGCGACTCTCTTCTCTGGGGTTATAAAGTAATTGTCTGGTGAGAGATTGTCCCTGGGGTGAGAGCCACCATGGAGACAGAGTCCAGCTGGCTTTTCCTAGGATACACACAACTGTCAACACACTTTCAAACAGTACCAGTCCATAATTATAGACTCCTTGGCTATTCGTAGTAGCCATTGTTTTTGTCTTCCCAGCACCTTGTTTTGGAAATGGGCTCTGCTGTTTCTTTACAATGCAGGGATGGAAGAAAGGTCATGACCCAGATCAGGTTAATCATAGGGCCACAGACTCTTGGCCACAGTGGGCTCACGACAAACCAGTAAGAACCTTTCTCTGGAATTTTCCAAATTAGAACTGGAGGGAAGAAACCTTTCTTTCAGGGTCACCAAGCTGGAAGGATGCAAATCTGGAGCTTAAGCTGTCACGTGCCCTGATGCATGGAGAAAGCCCACTTGCAGCAGCAGAAAAGGAAGCCAACACACAGGCCTGGGGGGGTCGGCTTGCTGTCTCCCCACGTCCACTCTCTCCCTCTCCTTCTACTACCAGAACCTCCCTCCTCAGAGTTTTGGCTGCTCAGCTAGACACTAAATTTACAGCCTCTCTTGCAGCTAAATGTGGCCACATGACAAGACAGTAGAAACTTGGGTGCCTGATGACATTTCCCTGGACCACCTGCCTATTGCTGCACTGTTAGGTGAGTGAAAAATAACCTTCTCTTTCATATTCAAATAATCTTCTGTATTTTGATGGTTCGCAGCCCAATCTATACCACTACTAATGTGAAGGTGAAAAAGATATAAAAGCAAAGAGCCCTGATGGGGTTTAAATCCTTGGATATAGTTGTCCCTGCAATGATAAGTTATCACTTATGGGGTGCTTCTAAGTGCCAGGAACTGCCCACAATGTTTACATGCAGTACCTCATTTAATCCATTCCAATTCTATGGGGTGCTACTGTCATTCCTACTGTACAGCTTACAATGGGAGGGCATAGACAGATTAATTAACTTGCCCAGGGTTCACATTACATTGCTTCTCAAGCTAGTCTTTTCCGTGATTTGTTGTGTAAGCCAATAAAGCCCCTTATTTTGCTTAAATTGGTTCAAGCTGGATTTCTGCCACTTGCAACAAGCGTTCTAATTGGATTTTTGTCTAATCTAGTTTCTGTGTTCCTTTATAGAGTGCAACCATGTGGTACAGAACTGTACGATGCAATTTAATGGCTGCAAGCAGGATAATTCTCCCAAGAAACTGGCTCCCATTTAACTAGTCAGATCACAATTGTAGCTGCAAGACAACAGGGCCCATAGCAAGGAGACAGTCTTCTCAGAGGGAGCATTAGGTTTCCTGCCTGTGGCACACATTGCCGGATGGGTCAACAATACCCATTCCCAACCCCCTTTTCCTTGCCTGCCTGAAAATGCTTTCTGTACAGCAAGGGCTGGCCAAATGATCCAATTTGGGCAATGAAAGGTATTAGAACATGGAGGGATTCCTGCATAATGATTAAAAGTATGGGCTCTAGGGCCAGAATGCCTGGATTCACCATCACCTCAGCTGTAGAAGTGTGGGCAATTTACTTTACCTCTGTTCCTTGGGGAGGAAAACTGGACCTACCTCACGGTTATTGTGAGGATTAAAGGAACTAACAAAGGTAAGAACTCAGAAGAGTACCTGGTACATGGTAAACACCATAAACGTTAACAGTTGTTATTTTTATCACCTGTGTCAAAATGGAACAATCTCTAAGGTACTGTTAAGTAAAAGCAACAAGGTGCAGGACAGCACATCTAGCATGTGCTCGCATCTGTATGAATACAAAGGTTGGTGTGTATGTGTATATCTGCTTGTGCCAAGCACAGACTAACCACTGGTAGGACAGATCAAAAACTGTTCTGAGGGCTTCCCTGGTGGCGCAGTTGTTGGGGGTCCGCCTGCCGATGCAGGGGGACGCGGGTTCGTGCCCCGGTCCGGGAGGATCCCACATGCCGCGGAGCGGCTGGGCCCGTGAGCCATGGCCGCTGAGCCTGTGCATCCGGAGCCTGTGCTCCACAACGGGAGAGGCCACAACAATGAGAGGCCCGCGTACAGCAAAAAAAAAAAAACAAACTGTTCTGAGTAGTTGTCCCTGGGAAGTAGAACATGGGACTGGATTCTGGGTTGGGAAAATCTACTTCATTGTAGGTCCCTTCTTGACTAACTGGACTGGATTTTTGGAATCATGTACTCAAATTACTTAAAGATTTTTAAAATACTCAGAAAAAAAACACCCCATTTTCTCTTAATTTTGGTTGTTCACCAACAAAATGGACAGTCAAAAGCTTATATGTCAGTTATATCTCAATAAATAAATAAATTTAAAAAGAAAACGAACAGTTAGTCGTATAAAGTGGCAAGCTTCCTTTTGCAGGTATTCAAACACAGGCTGGAAGGGAATCTGTCAGACACGCCCTGGAAGATTTCTCCAGGAAGCAAGAGGTTAGCCTAGGGCACATCTAAACTCTACCAACTACAAGATCTACCTTTTTGGTGGCACAAAAGGGGAAGGGAGCTGGCGGATATGGCTCCCCAAAAACCTGCAACCATCACAGACTGCTGGTATCAGGACACAGCAGACCGTCCCATCGTACCAGGGCAGACCTGAAGAGCGTGGGCTGCAGAGCCAGGCAGACATGCACACATGTATGTGACTTCTGGGTCAGCCACTTCTTCACCACGAAGACTGGAACAAGTTATCTAATATCTTTGAATTTTTTCCTCATCAGTAAAGTGGGGATAACGTCCAGCTTACAGGGTTGGTGTGAGCCCTAGGTAGGCAAGTGAATATAAAGCCCGCAGAAGGGCACCAGGCACACAGTGAAGTGCCCACGAGAGGCTGCCATCGCTGGAGGTGGACAGTGATCACCTTCAAGTGACTTGTTTCATGTGTCAATCTTCTAATGTACAAACATAAAAAGTGACAAACCAGAAAGCAGTTTTACATTGAACTAGCAGAGATGACTACATACAGCTCTTTTTGCAAACCCCATAATCAGATATTAAGTCAAGACAGCTGCTGCTAGATACTAACCTTCAAGGCTAAACTGTCCTACCCCATTCACAGCAGCATCAGAGCTTCAAGCAAGGCCAGCCTTCTCAGGTCTTCACTCCTATATCTTCCTACTAAGCCAAGAGGCCAGAGCAGAATAGGAAGGGTTGTGCTATTATCCAGAAGATAAGAACGGCCCTGGCAACTTCGTTTACTCCTTGGGGCTCTGTGCCCCCAGAATGATTTTAAGAGGCCCCCATGTACATATGAGATTGGGCCCAAGTACAGATATTTTGGTCTGAACTGTGAGGTTATGGCAAAGAAAGGGTGGGTTGAATGGTTTTAGGCCAGGGAGCAAGTGTCACAAATGCTACATTTCCAGTGAAATAAGGCATACTGCTGTCCCCAAACACCATGAGGCAAGGAGTGGCTGCCAGACTAGTCCACCCACGTGGGAGACTCAAACCTGGGACCTTGCAAAAATAAAATCTGGACACTAAGGGCTCCCCTTTTAGTGAAAGCCAAGGCCCTAGAATAGATGCTAGAAAGTCTTTTATTAGTCACCCTGAATTAAAATGACAGTTCAGGTCACTCTGGAAAGAAGAGAAATACTAACTACCCTCCCTTCAAGTTTTAGTAGCCAACAGGAATCTGGGCTCTGAAAAGTCACAAAACACTTTTTTTCCCAGATTATGAGCAGCTGTGGCAACTGGTCAAATGTGTGAGCAGCAGGGAAGCTGAGTGATCCCTGTGAGCAGAGCTCACTGTGGTAGCTCATGGCCATGGGCAGCTCAAGAGCGTCACAACCTCCCCACTGGGACAGAATGCACTGCTCCATCCTGCTCCATCCAGCCACCCACAGGACCAAGGGGTGGCAGTGCTGGAAACAGATGAGTCCATGTTCCACACATAACGGTACGGAGTGACTGTTAATATATACGGTTTAAGCACAGCATTTGGAGACAACTCCTCTAGACGTTCTGTTATTAAGTCTTAAGAGCTTAGAGCCTGGGAGGATTGAGAAACTCTAAAGAATTAAACCAAAAAAAAAAAAAGAAAGAAAGAGGGTGGGAGGTGTCAAAGACACAAGAGCTCTTTGTAGATGCTGACTGGCTCACTTTGTCCCCAAGTTCATCTTAGAGCTCAAGCGAATTCGAGACACAAGGCAGAGACATTAGACCTGTGTCAAGGGCAAAAACTTCTGGTAGTAGCTCTTCGTGACGTCAATCATCAGCTCCTGGGTACATTCTGGGAGCTCCCCTGAGAAGAGTCCTGAGGAAAGAAAGACCTGGTCAACCACGAGGAGCCAGAGGAGGCCCACATGCAGCTCTGACTTCTGTTGAAACCTCTAGAAGTCTCCTTTCTTTAGTCATGAATGTCTAAATACTAGGTTTTCCATCTTTGGTGCTAACAGAATATTTCCACTGACCATATCTTCAAGATGATGTGAATTTGTGTGTGTGTGAGAGAAACAACTAATACTTTCCCAAAATGCAGAAATATATCCCAGGGACTTCCCTGGTGGCACAGTGGTTAAGAATCCGCCTGCCAATGCAGGGACACGGGTTCAAGCCCTGGTCCGGGAAGATCCCACATGCCACGGAGCAACTAAGCCTGTGTGCCACAACTGCTGAGCCTGTGCTCTAGAGCCCACGAGCCACAACTACTGAACCCATGAGCCACAACCGCTGAAGCCCACATGCCTAGAGACTGTGCTCCACAAGAGAAGCCACCGCAATGAGAAGCCTGCGCACCGCAACGAAGAGTGGCCACCACTCGCTGCAGCTAGAGAAAGCCCGCGCACAGCCACGAATATCCAATGCAGCCAAAAAGTAAAAAAAAAAAAAAAAATTAAAAAGAAGAGAGAAATATATTCCAGGTAAAAGAGGTTAGTACATCATGGCACAACCTGAAGAGTTAAGGCAAATCTGACTACATCAGACGTTGTTCCAGGCAAGGATTCGTCCATCCCCTGGACTCTGGGGTGACGCCTGCTGGGCAAGCCAAGGTGAGAGCTCTTGAGGGAAGAAACTGCCCTGCTATTCACACAATGAAACTGAATCCAAGGCCCGAACATGCTAGATATATTCAAATCACAAATGGAAGTAGAACAGAAACACCCTATAGAAAGACAAAAGATGCAGGAATCCTATTTAAGAATTTCTAGGAAAGAGGCACTCTCACACACTTTGGATGGACGTGTAAACTCATAAAACCGTTTGAAGAGCAATTTAGGAATATCTAGCAAAACTTTTAAAAGTTCATACCCTGTGACCTGATAATCCAACTTTTAAGAATTTATTCTACAGATAATCTTGCCCAATTGCACAATATATGTACGGAAGCATCAATGCAGCAAAGTTTCTAATCATGAAAAACCAGGTGCAACTTCTTTTGATCCATTATGCCAGAGGATGATTAGTTATACTGTGGGACGTTTACGCAATGAAAACCATGAAACCATTAAAAGGCATGAGGTGAATCTCACCATACTGACAAGAAAAGATGCCCAAGATATACTGTTAAGGAAGCAAGTTTCCTAACAGAACAGAGTATGATTCTGTTTATACATGTAAAAACAGTTTCATATTATATACACAAATATATATATAAACACACATACCTATACACTCATACGCATATAAAAACACACACATATGCTCTTGTATATATACAAAGAGAAAGTAGGATAGAAAAAGTGGTCTTAAAAGATACACAATTCTCACAGGCACCTTTTACAAACTAGCAGCCCATGTTAGATTTCCAAATATATGTTTAGTCTGTACAGTATTTAATCTCCTAAAAAAAAATTAGTACTCAACAATTAAAAATTCAGAAATACCATACAAAAATTCAGATTTTGAGCTCCTCATGAAACACCAGAAGTTCTCATGATATCATGCCTGTATTCTTAAACAGCTATGATAGGCTATTACTTCAATCACTTACATGATCTGCCGGGCTCCTGTGGACATCTGAGTTTTTGGTCCCTAACCCAGATCCTTTCTGTACGGTTTGCCTTTCATTTTGACTCAGATTCACGCTGTGGAGCCTTCCAAAAATATGCTAGTTTTCCTGCAACCCTATGCCTCTTCATTAAAGGGGGAGATTGTCAACAGCAGTATCTAGATGGTTAGCATTTGTTTGTGAAGTCACATAAAATAAACATGGGAAGTACCCTATCAGTGCAAAAAGTACTGGACTCTAAATAAGGAGCTCTGGGAGTTCCCTGGTGGTCTAGTGGTTAGGATTCAGTGCTCTCACTGCCGTGGCCCGGGTTCAATCCCTGGCTGGGGAACTGAGATCCCAAAAGCCGAGGGGCCAAAAAAAAAAATTTTTTTTTTAAATAAATAAATAAGGAGTCTTTAGTGCTTGTCAAAGCTTTCCCCCCAACTAGCTCCAATACGTCGTACAACTCAACCTCTCTAGGCCTCAGTTTCCTCACCTATACAATGATCTCTAAGGTCCCAGGCAGAACCTCCACACACAGTGTTTATCTGGATTTCAAATATCTAGCAGTGCTTCCCTGCCATACGCCATCAGTGCTCAAAGACCATAAATTGGTTCTAAGGGCTTTGAATAAGTTAAAAGAGATTAAGATATTTCGTCAGCAATACACTTCTCATCTCAGCTCAGATGCTTGTCTCACAACTCCTAAAACAATTGCCAAGACCGTGCTGATATAGCACTTGCTAAGAACTATTAAACTTTCTCACAGTGGGAACTCATTATGGGGAGAATTACTAAATAAAAGTCTCTTCCTCCTTTGCAAACAGAGGTGCATGAAAGAGCAGAATGGCCCATTTCCTCCCCAGAGAATCCTAGTGGATGATTCTGTACATCTTTGAAATTTGCATTCAGTGATCTGAGTAATGAGATTTTTAAAAATTGGAATAACAAATAAACCACCCAGTGGTTAGAGATCATATATTGTCAAATCTCTCTCTTCATATCATCTTCCATCTGTGAATCTGTGATGTGCCTTTGCATGAGCTACGTGATTTCCACTGCGTAAAACAACATGTAGAAGAAAAGAGACTGTCTTGAGGTGGGGGTTGGGAAATGTGAGGTTTTCTTCTTCTTGCTTTTCGGTGTTTTCCAAGCTCTCTAGGATGAGCATGGATTGCTTTTGTCTCGTCACATGTTTGTAATTTGGAACTCTGAGCTCATGAGGGCTTTGCCTACGGGCAAAGGTCAAGGGATAATGTATTTGCTTCTCTCAGGTGTCCTAGAGCTCTCACTGGTCTTAGAGCATGTTTTATGGTAACTTTTCAGTTAGGGCATTCCTGGGCAGGGCGGGAAGTACAAGTTCAAACCTCACCCAATGTGAAGGTAAGGCCATAGAATTCTTTGGACACACTTTTTATTTTTCCACCCAGAGCCCAGGCCAAGAGAGACATGCTTCCTCATACTTTTCCTGTGCTGGTGACAGATTTATCTAGTTATATTTTAGATAGTATTTCTGAGTACCCTGTACCAGGAGAATGTTTAAGTTAGCTAGATCAACATACTGTTAGAGATAGAAATCGCATGCACTACTTTTGTGAAAGAAAATAAACTTGAGTTTTAATAATCAACACCCAAGGTTACCTGGGCAGCCTGAGAAGACGGTGAATGGTGGGACCACAGTTTCTGGGGGTAATACTGTGTTGTCAAGAATTTTGCAACAGTCTTTCAACACACACCGGCGCCCCTGAAATTAAAATCTTGTTAATAGGAAATAGACCAGGAAATGGGAGTAAAAGTTGTCTTGTCTGCTGTGTGGAATATATTTATATTTTCTCCATTCATGATATCATACAATAGTCATGGACAGTGACAAGAGGCTTGGCTACTATTCCCTATTGCAGGTGGTACATGACAAGCAGGAGGTAAAAATGTGAGTGTCTACAAATTTGAGGTGGGGGTCATACACTAGGGACAGTTCAAGTTACCTTAGGCATTTCATACTACATGAAATTCAATCTTCAAGAATTCTGTTTACTTTTCTTTCTTCCTTTTTTAAATAATTTAGTGGATATCTGTTGTTTTGCTTGTCCAACATCCACTTCCCTTTCCTCTGGTAACAGAAGCTATATTTTCCTTGGATACCGCCCCATCCCCATCTCAGTCCATGTACTTCACCTCCCATCCCAAACTATGAACCCCAAGCCTGGCCACAGCCACTGGTTTAGGCAATCGGCGTATGAGCTGATGATGAATCTCAAGGTCAGGGCTTCTGCTGGGACTACTGGGAAAAGCTCTTTCCAATGGGCATTTTAGAGGACAGGACAGAATCCTGGACCAGCCACTGGTTTCCATGAGGAAAGGACCTGCCTGAGAGCCTCCCAGAGGAAAACAAAAAAGGGAAGGGGATTAATTCTCATGACATCAACTGAACCCCCAGAGTCACTTATGTATGAAATTAGGATCTACTTCTGTACCCTTGGTTCATATTAGCCAGTACATTTGCTTTGAACCTACCAATTTAAGGTCTGTTTGTTCTTTTGCCAATTCCAACTGGAAAAGTCTTGGCAAATTCTTCTGGATATGAAGTTATTAGTTCATTTGTTCCCCCATGGGTAAGTGGTAGTTATTAGAAGGTTTAGGCTGGACATAACGCTTGACTTTATCCACTGTCATCACTTTTCAATTCTGCCATCACCCACGGCATTTTGGGGGCAAGAAATAAGGTCTGGGAGCTTCATCTCTTTCATGGCTTAAGGGAAAGGAGAGGTTTCTGTATACGGTTAAAGTTATGTCTCAGACAACCTGCTGAGTAAATGAAAGATTGCATTTACATCATCGGGTCTATAAGTTTACCTGTGTTCTGGTCAGATGATCTGATAAAACATCCCCAGGTGGCTGAGGATGTGGAACACCTAACAAATACCAGGATAATGCTAACCCATCTAGATCTTAGATTTTACCAAAGAATATGAAAGATACTTTGATTTGGTTGTGTTCAAATTTTCCCCCAGTATTAAATACCTAACTCTTATGTAAGTCCAGGAACTCCTAGGTAGATTGCCAAATGAATTTTTTAAAAAGCTTATACCTAAGGTCTGAATTTCTTTAGTGGCTAACTAAGTTGTCTCCAGTTGGGTGGTTAACAGCCAAGTTGGGCAACATCTTTAGGTCAGAAGCAAGTTATGACTGCAGCTCATTTCTCCTTGGAAAGTTTTCTTCCACGAATTACCTATTATTGGCAACATCAAAAATCGGGCAGATGGCCAGCTCCCCTGGTGACTCCCAAATTAACTCAAAGATGTCCTATGACGCCTAAGCTCCTAATAACTCAGACTAAGCACATGGGGCACTGAGTAAAAGGAGTGTGCTGCGTATGGCAGGACACATTCACAGACAGGGACCTGCAGACACAGGGGCCTGGAAGAGAGGGACAGTGGAAATGAACCTTCTCACTGTATACTACCAGCCACCACACAGCCTGAGGGCACCTGCTTTCTAGAGTTGGCCATTCTGCCCACTCAGAGAAATGTGCTCAATTGGGTTTCAGAGAATTCTGGGTAAACTGATCAATTACATGGCAGCAGAATTAAAAATGCAGGTACTTCTTAGGCATGAATGGCTTGGCAATAGCTGAGGAGATAAAAAGCTGAAACTACTTCTTTATTCTTTCCTGGAGAACTTTCCAAGAAGGAGTTAAGAACTACACGTTGCTAGTATTATAGCTACCCATATCTCCTTATGCAAATTATTTAGCAAGTTACTTAAATCCTGTGAAATAGGATATAAAACCAAGCCCGTAGGGATGCTGTCAAGACTAGAGACAAAAGTAAAACTCATGGCATGGTTAACAGTGCCTATTAATATTGCCTGTTAGGCTTTTCCTGCAGACATTTGGGCAATTCTGATTAACAACCACACCTTCACACATCCAAGCATAAGTTAGACTACCACATGAGATGCTACAGGAAGGATCCCTGTGTCATGAGGACAGCTGGACTCTAAATGAGTTCCTGCTAGCTCTGAGATTCTCAAAGGATCATTCTCCTGAGATTACTTGGGAATTTTTAAAGGCTCAGCAAATAAGCCCTGTCAATACTGAACAATGACAATACCATGAATTGATGTATTGAAAAGTGATACAGAAAGCAGAGCACCTAACAATAGGACTAGAATTCCCTAAGCTGTGGGAATAGCATTTGGATTTTAACCGTTCAGACATTTGGCTCTGGGGCTAAAGGACTAGGCTACTATGGTGATGTCTTCACATTGCTGAGGAAAATATCAGGAAAACCCAGCTGTGGCTTGGAAAGCCAGCTTTGGTCAAACAGTCAGAGTGAGGGGAGAGGATGGATTTCTTCTCCCTTTTCTCAACGTCAGCCCGAACCACAGACATTCTGTCTCTAATACATACTAAGGGACTCCCCTGGAGAAGAATATTTGGCAAAACAACTACTCCCCTTAATTCTGAGTAACAAGTCAGACTGGAATGTTTTTCTCAGCAGTGGGGTTCTCCATTGCACTGTCCACCTTTGCTGTGCCCTCATGGCTCCTGGAATGTGACTGCATAGCTTCTGCAGGTTTTCTGATACTTTAGGGTCCTAGTCTTATCCAGAGCAGAGAACTGACTCTAAATTAAGGGGAGTGGCCATTTAAATGTATGAAAGGGGTCTTGGCTTTTCCCAGAATCTGAGGGACAAACATAAAATGTAGGAGACATTTTCCCTGAAAATTTAGGCAGTTTGGCTCTGATCATTAACATTCTTACTCAGGATGGTCTCAGAAATCCTAACTGAAATCAACCTCTTCATCTATGAAATACCAAGAAATTCAGCCTTGGAAAGCCTTGGTTGGGTTAAACAAATTGATATCGAGGCACCTGTGGACCAGGGTCCTACAGGTTCTGCTAAGGGAGGGGCCCCCTCGCACCTGGCAAACCCAGCACCCTGAACTACATGCAGCTCCCTTAACGTCATGCCCATTGGTGACTCTGACCCTTACACATGCCAATCTCTTCCCTGAAACACTCATTCTCCTCTGGTCTAGGAGCCAATTTTGATGCACCCTTCAAGATCCCCTCACCTCCACCAGACTGTAAGATTCTTGAGGTGAAGCAACAGGTAGGTCACATAGCGGCATGGCTATTCATACCACTAGGGTTCAAATCCCAGCACTACCATTTACTAGCCTTGTCAAATCCCCTAATATCGAAGGTCTTCAGTCTCCTCACCTGAAAACAGGGATAATAACAGTACCTAGTATCCTTGGATGGTTGTGAGAATTAAATGAAATAATCAAAGGTAAGGGTTTAACGTCATATGGAAGAGGTTCCATAAAGGTTAGCCATGATTATTAATGCCTAGGAAAAACTCCAAATTCAGTAATAATTCTGATAGACCAGTAGACCAGAAAGGACTTCTACCCTGCTTGATGACAGAAGCAGAAGCCCACTGATGTGAGGGACGCAAGCTAGAGAGAGAGTGAGGCTGCTCAGCCAGCCAAGTCACCATACTCACAATCACACAGTTCTTGCCAACGTGAACATAAGAGCCAATCTGAGCTGCGTTGACCACACAATCTTCCTCAATAAAGACATGGTCCCCAATATGTAGAGGAAAAAATGCAACGCTATAGAAGAAAAAGAAGATGAACAAAGAAAGGTCAAGGTGATGTACTTTTGGTCAAGGTTTATAGAACTAAAGATCGTAATCTCAACTCCATCGTCTTTTCTTAATAAGACTGTTCCTACCAAGGAAAGAATCCTCAGGCTTAACGAATTCTGTAATGTTGAAGAAGATGCATGTGACTACTAAATCGAAATCAGAAATATTAGACCAAGGAAACTTTGAAAGGAAATAGCAAAACAGTAAGAGCAAAACCTTCAAAGCTAAAAAATCTGGCACCAAATAAAAACAAATGAATGTTTTGCTCATTCCTGCCTCCTTTGAAAATGCCCACAGATCACATTTTCATTATTCTGCTCTATAATCCTTCAGGGGACTGATGTGAGGTTCATGGGATATAATTCCCAACATGCTAAAAATTTATATATTGACTGGTTTTATTGAGAGTCTACTATATGCCAGACTCTATGCTAGGAACTGGGGAATACAATGGTGAGCAAAAGGGATGCAATCATGCCCATGGAGCTTACAAACAAGAGAAGAAAAGAGAGACTAAATAAATGATTAAATAAGTAATTAGTTCCAACTGTGATAAGTGCTACAGAGGAAAAATAACACATTATGAGAGCATATAACAGAGACTTTACTCAGACTGGAGGTTAAGTAATTGAAAGTGACATTTAAGCCAGGACTTAAGGAGTCAGTCGGCTTTCTCCAGACTTGTGACATCATTCCCATTCTCCAGGACTCCTCAAATGTCATTGACAGTGGTCTGTGATCATATTTACAAGAAATTTCGGTACCTTGGGATGTAAAATATTTGCACTAGAACTAATATAAAGCAGCTGGATGCTCACTGGCTCTTTCCAGTCCTGTGTTCTATTTTGTCAGGAATATTTTGTCAGAGATGATACCTGTCCTCCACAGACCTATACTTTATTTAAATCTTCCTTAATTCATTTGCATTTTTGGTCTGGACCCCTTGTGTGGCAATGGATTCCTTGATCTTATCATAGTCTACAACAGTACTATCAACTCCTTAATTTTAAATTAAAAACTCCAAACTTTATACTATCAGCTGGTCCTGGTATTGAGATATACAGGGGAGGAAATCGACATTCACTTTCTATTCACGTGTTGCTATTTACACTTTCATATTTCTATATTTCTCATGTGGACTATTCTAATTTACACTTCCCTCCATTCACCAATAAGCTTCTTATTCATTCTCAGTCCTCTTCCTGGACCATATCCAGCCCAATAATGCCTTTATCAGGAGGTGGAGTCAACAACTCTAGCAGAGCATCAGTCACTGTATGAAACCATGAAAAGGCGTCACAGGGTTTTCTGATTTCCACTCAATAGTCCTTTTTTTTAATTTTAAAAAATATTTATTAATATTTTGGCTGCGCTGGGTCTTAGTTGTGGCACATGGGATCTTTAGTTGCGGCATGTGGACTTCTTAGTTGCAGCATGCATGCAGGATCTAGTTCCCTGACCAGGGATCGAACCCGGGCCCCCTGCATTGGGAGCACAGAATCTTAACCCACTGGACCACCAGGGAAGTCCCCTCCCCTCCACAGTCTTCTGAGGGACTTCCCTGGTGGTCCAGTGGTTAAGACTCTGCGCTTCTACTGAAGAGGGCCCAGGTTCGATCCCTGGTCAGGGAATTAAGATCCCACATGCCGCACAGCACGGCCAAAAAAAAAAAAAAAAAAATAGCCTTCTGAGCTAATGAGCAAATGCTTTCATCTAAATTTCATATGATTTACAATGACTCCCTGCTCCAATTCCTGTACATAATGAAAGCCTGGAGCCCAACATCACTATGGGAAATGCAGGACGATTCCTGCATGATATACACCCAGGTATGGTAGTCTGAGTTAGCTGCCCTCTTCTCTGTTCCTCCCTAACCATGTTCATGCCCCAGTGACAGGAGTATCCCATTCTATAGTGGCTATCATGTTACAGCATCACATTCTATAGTAGCTTTCTGTTTATGTAATTCTTTCTATCACTAGGTTGTTGCTGTTTTTTTTTATTTTTATTTTTATTTTATTTATTTTTTTGTGGTACGCAGGCCTCTCACTGTTGTGGCCTCTCCCATTGCAGAGCACAGGTTCCGGACGCGCAGGCTCAGTGGCCATGGCTCACAGGCCCAGCTGCTCCGCGGCATGTGGGATCTTCCCGGACTGGGGCACGAACCCGTGTTCCCTGCATCGGCAGGCGGACTCTCAACCACTGCGCCACCAGGGAAGCCCTGTTGTTGTATTTTTAATTGAGGTATAGTTTATTTCCAATATATAAGTTTCATGTGTACAACACAGTGATTCACAATTTTTAAAGGTTATACTCCACTTATAGTTATTATAAAATATTAGCTATTATTCCCTGTGCTGTAAAACATATCCTTGTAGCTTATTTATTTTATATGTAGTAATTTGTACCTCTTAATCCCTACCCCTGTCTTGCCCCTCCTCCTTCCCACTGGTAACCACTAGTTCGGTATATCTGTGAGTCTGTCTCTTTTTTTTACATTCACTAGTTTGTTTTACTTCTAACACTGGGTTATGAGACCCTATTTGATCCATCTTTATATGCCCAGCTTATAACCAAGTGACTGGCATAAGGAAAGCACTCAATCAATGCTTGCTGAATTCTTGGATGAAAAGCAGATGGTGCCATAAGTAGGAACGAGGAGGGCAAACGGAGAGAGAGGCAAAGAGAATACCATCATATCAAGCATAGCGGTCGGTTTTCCTGCCCTGTCCATGCCCTTTCTTAGACAATCCTTATGCCCACTGAGAGATCAGGGGGCCTGACTTGACCCTGCTCTCTGGGTCAAAGCTGTTTTTAGACTGGGGGTGGGCACTTAACTCAAACTGAGCTAATTAGATTCTCTCTCCCAACATTTTGTTGATAGGACCTAAAATCTCTGGTTGGTATCCATTGGAAGCCTAAATGGAGAAGCGATGTAAAAAAACGGGCTGAGGCAGCAAGGTTGGCTCCATGAGAAAAGCCGGAAGATATAGCTGAAAGAAAAAAGAGGGAAGCAGAAGTGCAGAGAGAAGAACAGTTAAGAAACAGTATAACCTTGGTAACAGAGCAGCAGCCAGACAGAATAGTGGTCTTGACTCTGGCTAGCTGTCCAGTTCCAGGTTCTAGTCCCTTGTGAAGCCTGACCCCTTTTTCTACCCTTAAATTCCATCAAATATGCCTGTGGCTGTTTAATCAGAACCCCCTTTGCTTTTGCCAGCTTAAGTGGATTGTTTCTGGCAACTAACCACCAACTAGACTAAGACAACCAACACCAGAGTTGTGTTCATTATGGTGAATTCTTACTTAGTGTCCCAAACAATAGCATAGATCTGCTCCTTCCCCCACAACTCAACGCATGGATAGTACCACCAGTAGCAGCATCTTGCCCAAGACTGAATCAGGTCATTAAATTACATACCCTTTGCTGAATTTCTTGAATGGTGGCCTTATGACACTCCGACTTTTCACAACACAATGACGTCCAACTCTTACATTTGCCAGATCCCCTCGAATAATACAGTCATTCATCACAATGGTCTATAAAACAAAGCATATTTTAAAAAGCTACTAACATAGCCTAAAACATAATGAAAAAGAGTAGGAAACCAGACAGTTTGAGAGTTATGCTATATTCTACTGAATCACCTGTTCTGTCAAAAGGGATAACTTTTAAGGTAAAGAGAATTGCCCTCATAATACTGATTGCAGTTCAAGATGTTCCCAGTACATCACAAGCTTTGCCCTTATTATCCCATGAACAGGACTCAATGGATGGACAAACATTTATTGAGAATACCTGTAGCAGACCTGGTCTGTGCATCTCCTCAGATGCACTCGGTTCCACCTGCCCCCAAGCCTTGGCTGCTTGCTCAGTGAGAGTCCTGGCTGTTCCCAGCTTTGTCTAATCTCCTAACAGTACTATCTCCAACTTCATGCTCCAGAGGTGGACCCACTGAGGTTCTGCTTCCTCTCCCAATTTCTGGACCCAGATTATGTGCTAAACTGCAAGGTGTGATATCTGACTTCCCCAGAGGTTGCCAGGAGGGGCTGAATAACACAACCCAGAAACTGGGGGGAACTAATGCCCCATACTTGGTAAAGAGTAGGCATTCTTGAAACGTCTGCTGAATAAATGAGGTTTAAAAAAAAAAGTGCACGTGGCTGAGAAAGTAAGCAAGGGACCAGATCATGAAGAATTACCTGTGCTGAGTACAGAAGTTCAGATGTTTTTCCCTAGCGGGTATAAGGAATCAATGAAAGATTCTAAGCAGAGGATTAACACAAGCGAAGCTTCATTTTAGAAATATTACTCTGGAAGCAGTCTGGAGCCTGAATGGAGGCAGGCAAGACTGGAGGGGATGTGACCCTTCAGATGGATCAAGGTGAAACGAGATGGTGGGCCTTACCTAAGGCAAAAGCTGTGCATCAGGGAAAGAGAAATAAATCAGAGGTAGAGGAATCTGAGCAACCCTTTAGATCCAGCTACCAATTTAGAGGAAGAAGAGGGGGACAGAGATCACATTAAGCAACACCGTGTAAACAGAATCAGCCAAATTCAGAAATCTGAAAATACTGCAGGACAGTGAGCCAGTTTCCTCAACATATAAATGGCATGCGGAGAAAAACGAGGCAGGGAATGAGAACTGTTACAGATTCAAAGAGACTTAAGAGACACATCAACCAAACAGTAATGTGTACCTGACCTTGTTTGGATCCTGATTTGAACAAGCCAACTGTAAAAAGACATCTTAAGATAATGGAGGGACTTCCCTTGTGACGCAGTGGTTAAGAATCCGCCTGCCAATGCAGAGGACATGGTTCAATCCCTGGTCCGGGAACATTCCACATGCCGCGGAGCAATTAAGCCCATGCATCACAACTACTGAGCCTGCGCTCTAGAGCCTGTGTGCCACAACTACTGAGCCCATGTGCCACAACTACTGAAGCCCGCAAGCCCTAGAGCCTGCGCGCCGCAACTACTGAAGCCCGTGCGCTCTAGGGCTTGTGTGCTGCAACTGCTGAGCCTGCGTGCTGCAACCACTGAAGCCCACACGCCTAGAGACTGTGCTCCGCAACAAGAGAAGCCACCGCAAAGAGAAGCCCGTGCTCCGCAATGAAGAGTAGCCCCCACTCGCCACAACTAGAGAAATCCCGGGCACTCGCAGGCTCAGCGGCCATGGCTCACGGGCGCAGCCGCTCCACAGCATGTGGGATCTTCCCGGACCGGGACACGAACCCATGTCCCCTGCATCGGCAGGCGGACTCTCAACCACTGCACCACCAGGGAAGCCCTGTTCTCTCTACTCTTAAATGTGTCCTAAAAGTTCCATAACAATACTGCTTATCTATAAAGAATAATGAACTACTAATCCATGAATATATCCAACAACATGGATAAATCTCAAAAACATTATGCTGAGGGAAAGAAGCTGACCCCCCCCCCAAAAAAGTACATGATTCCAATTACAGGAAACTTGAGAAAATGCAAAACTAACCTCTATTAGTTTTACATAGTTACCTGGGCAAAGCTAGAAGAAGGCTTGACTGCAGAGGGACACAAGGAAACTAGGGTGATGTAAATATTTTATATCTTGACTGTGGTACTAGTTGCATAGATGTCCCCATCAGCCAAACCTTTTCAAACTGCATATTTAAAATGGGTATACTTGGCCACTGAGCCTGCGTGTCCGGAGCCTGTGCTCTGCAATGGGAGAGGCCACAACAGTGAGGGGCCCGCGTACCGCAAAAAAAAATAAAATAAAATAAAATAAAATGGGTACACTTTATTGTATGTAATATACCTAAATAAAAATTATTTTTTAAAAAATAAATTTATTTATTTTATTTTTATTTTTAAAACAAATTTATTTTATTTATTATTTTAATTATATAAAATTAAATTATATAAAAAATATAAATTATTTTAAAATTTAAAATAAATTAAAAAATAAATTTATTTATTTTATTTTTATTTTTAAATAAATAAATTTATTTATTTATTTTATTTTTGGGTCTTTGTTGCTGTGTGTGGGCTTTTCTCTAGTTGCAGTGAGCGGCGCCTACTCTTCGTTGCAGTGTGCGGGCTTCTCATTGCGGTGGCTTCTCCTGTTGCGGAGCACGGGCTCGGCTCTAGGCGCGTGGGCTTCAGTAGTTGTGGCTCGTGGGCTCTAGAAGCACAGGTTCAGTAGTTGTGGCGCACGGGCTTAGTTGCTCCACGGCCTGTGGGATCTTCCCGGACCAGGGCTCGAACCCATGTTCCCTGCACTGGCAGGCAGATTCTTAACCACTGTGCCACCAGGGAAGTCCTAAAAATGATTTTTTTAAATGTTCCATTATAAAATATTTAAAAAGAAAAAAAAGAAGAGATTTTATATGACTCGGTCATTGTTTAGATGCTGGGTAAGAGAAAAAGAATCTAGGACAGGGTGAGCAATTCTGGGGATTAGATGATAAATTCAATTTTGAAATTCTGAGTTTGTGGAATCTGTGGGATGACCAACAGGCAGTTGTAAATAAAGGTCTGGGGCCCAAGACAGAAGGTCAGGCTAGAGAAGTAGATGGGAACACCTCAAATATAGGTGAATTTAGATAAATCACTAGCCAGAACACGAGGCTCTGAGAAGATACTAAAAAAGAAATGGGCTCACACCTGGAAGAGTTTACCAATCTGACCCACATATGTTCAGTCTGTAAAACCTCTATCAGTAAAAAGAAATTTTCACATCTGCTGCTGATTGTAAAGTATTACAGGTCCTCTTGGCTTTTTTGTTTTGTTTTGTTTTTGTTTTTTTGGCTGTGCCATGCAGCTTGCGGGATCTTAGCTCCCTGACCAGAGATCGAACCCAGGCCCCGGCAGTGAAAGTGCCGAGTCCTAACTACTGTCAGGGAATTCCTCTCTTGGTTTTTAAAAGCTATCTTCTTCAAGCTTAGAGAGATGTCTATTTCTAGTACATAATTCTTTCATCTGAGATCCTTAATTTACTTCAATCACTGTTTTTCAGCTTGTGTTTCCATCTACAATCAGAGAAAATGAGTTATTTTTCTTTTGGAAGAAAACAGAATACCAAGAGTTCTGAGTATTTGGTAATGGCTGTTATTGTTCTATTGTGTTTTAAGTAAAGATAACAATCTTAATCTAGAAATAAAGAAAATCCATATAAGTCCCTCAGTCAGCCTAAATTACATTCCCACTGAGGAAGCAAACACACAAAAAACATAAGAAAGAAACGATATCACAGATGGTCAAAGAAATTTAGCAAGCGGTATTCAAACCCTGGTTTCCTATCTCATAAAGAATGGAGCTAAAGAAGAGAAGTCAAATTAAAAATAGAGGCAACATGGGCTTCCCTGGTGGCGCAGTGGTTGAGAGTCCTCCTGCTGATGCAGGGGACACGGGTTCATGCCCCGGTCCGGGAAGATCCCACATGCTACGGAGCTGCTGGGCCCGTGAGCCATGGCCGCTGAGCCTGTGCGTCCGGAGCCTGTGCTCCGCAACGGGAGAGGCCACAACAGTGAGAGGCCCGCGTACTGCATTAAAAAAAATAATAATAAAAAAAATAAAGAGGCAGCATGGTGTTAAAATGAAAGGAGGTGCCTAAAAAGACCTTTCAGGGAGAAAAACGGTATTAAAGCAGACTTCACCGAACTCAACAAGTACAAGGCAGAGGTGGCAAGTTGGGGGTCTGAGGGCTGTACCTAGAAATGGTTTTCTCTGGCCTCTGCAGCCATTTTTATCATTTAAATTAGATGCTATTATGTGAATAGTAGGACATTTTACATTTAAAAAAAATCCAGATTTCCAGTTTCTTTTGAGAAAATCAGAAGCTCTGCAAGTACAGGTCTGCACTCCCACATGGCAACAATCAGCCCGAGCTTAGCTAGGTCCTGTATTCTCCAATTCACTAGGCCCCACCATTCTGGTTTACACCCAGTCCTCTTTGCTCATCTGATCCCTGTCTCTTCCTGCAGGCACTGTGACACCCGATGGAAAACAGAAATGTCAAAGTTCTGAAAGGGGCAGGGGCTGGAAACAAAAATGGATTGTTCATAATAACAAAAAGCTGGAAACAAAATAACTATCCACCCATAAGAGAGGGGATAAACCGAATTGTACACAGCAGTGAAAATGCATAAACCACAATGAATCTTAGAAACTAAGCTGAGAATGATGTTACTTACTAAATGTAATATATGTTTTCTATTGTCATTATTACAATAACTGAGGGTAAAAATAGTAAGTCACAGAAAACCAAGTAAAGCTAAACAATATATATTATTTAGAAATACACACATATGTGGTAAAAATTTTGTTTTGAAAAATAAAGAATTTATAAGAAAAAGTTCAGAATAGTGGTATCCTCTTGGAAGGAGGTAGAAGAAAGAAATGGGAGAGGAACTTCAGGCTGTACTGTATTATTATGCATTGATTATGTTCCAGTTCTTCAGTTGGGTGGTGGGTTCATGGTGTTGATTTAATTTTTATGCTTCATAACATATATATCACATATCAGTCTTCTGTGTGCACCAAATATTGCCAAATAAAACACCTTTCAAAAACGAAAGAGGGCCCCAAATAACCAAAACAATCTTGAAAAAGAAGAAGTTGGAAGACTCATATTTCCTGATTATAAAATTTACTACAAGTCTACAGTAACCAAAATAGTGTAGAACTAGCATAAGGACAGATATATCAACTATGGAATAGAATTGAGAGTCCAGAAAGTAACCCATACATCTGTGGCCAGATGATTTTCTATAAGGATGACAAGACCATTCAATGGGGAAAGAACAATCTCTTCAACAAGTGGTGCTGGGACAAGTAGATTTCCAACCCCCCAAAATTAATTAATTAGGACCCCAACCTCACATCATATGCAAAAATTAACTCAAAATGGATCAACAACCATTTAAATACAAGTGCTAAAACCATAAAACTCTTAGAAGAAAACATAGGAGTACATCTTCATGATCTTGGGTTTGGCAAGGATTCTTAGATATACGACATCAAAAACTTAAGCAACAAAAGAAGAAATAGATAAACTGGACTTCATCAAAATTAAAAACTCTTGTGCATCAAAGAACATTATGAAGTAAAAAGACAACCTACAGAATGGTAGAAAATATTTGCAATCATAAATCTGATAAGGATTTAATACCCAGAATATAAAGAACTCCTACAATTCAACAACAAAGAGACAAGATTTTAAAATGGTCAAAGGACTGAATAGATATTTCTCCAAAGATATGCAAATGGCCAATAAGATAAAAGATGTTCATCATCATTAGACATTAGGGAAATGCAAATAACACTACTATATATATAAAAGATAACTAATAAGAGCCTATTGTATAGCACAGGAAACTCTATTCAGTGCTCTGTAATGACCTATATGGGAATGGAATCTAGCAGAGAGTGGATATATGTATATGGATGGCTGATTCACTTTGCTGTACAGTAGAAACTAACACAACATTGTAAATCAACGATACTCCAATAAAACATTAATTAAAAAAAAAAACCACAATGAGGGGCTTCCTTGGTGGTGCACTGGTTAAGAATCTGCCTGCCAATGCAGGGGACACAGGTTTGAGCGCTGGTCTGGGAAGATCCCACATGCCGCGGAGCAACTAAGCCAGTGTGCCACAACTATTGAACCTGAGCTCTAGAGCCCATGAGCCACAACTACTGAGCCCACGTGCCACAACTACTGAAGCCCACACACCTACAGCCCATGCTCCACAATGAGAGGCCACCACAACGAGAAGCCCGCGCACCGCAATGAAGAGTAGCCCCCGCTCGCCGCAACTAGAGAAAGCCCGCGCACAGCAACAAAGACCCAACGCAGCCAAAAATAAAATAAATAACTAATTAAGAAAAAAACACACAATGAAATATTGAATACCTTTCATATACACATCCAAAAAAAAAAAAACCCAGAAAATAACAAGTGTTCATGAGAAATTGGTACTCTCTTGCATTGCGGTGGGAAAGTAAAATGGTGCAATTTGGCAGTTCTTCGCAAAGCTAAAAAATAGAACTGCCATATGACCCAGACACCCCCACCCCTAGGTATGTAATAAATAACTGAAAACTGAGCTCAAATATATCCTTGTATGCCAATGTTCATTGCAGCAATACTCACAATAGTGGAAAGGTAGAAACAACCCAAGTGTCTATCAACAGATGAATAAATAAACAAAATATACATATATACAATGGAATATTAGTCATGAAAAGGAATAAAATTCTGATACGTGTGGATGAGCCTTGAAAACATTATGCTAAGTGCAATAAGCCAGCCCAAAGGACAAATCTTGCATGATTGTGCTTAAATGACATATCTAGAATAGGCACATTCATAGAGACAGAAAGTAGATTGAGGTTACCAGGGTCTGGGAGGAAAGGGGATGAGAGTTATTCCTTAATGGGTTCAGAGTTTCCGTCTAAGTGGTGAAAATGTTTTAGAAATAGATATAGTGGTGATGATTGCACAACACTGTGAATATAATGAATGTCAATGAACTGTATACTTAAAAGTGCTTAAAGTGGCGAATTTTGTCATAAATACACACACACACACAAATCTTCCCTACAAAATCACAGAAAATGTTTTGGAATTAGCTGAAGGATTTCAAAAAAAACTCCACATATTTGCTAATGAGTCAGATGGAGTTAACTGAATTTTCTAATTTTGCACTGAAACAGTGTATCTGTAATTACTAATTATATCTAATTACCAAACTATATTTCTTTTCCATTAAATCTCATGGTATGATGGGGTAACAGACACAGTAATTGTGTCTCTACTGAAAATATCTGTGATCTTTTGATTACAGTGAGATTATTTTACCTCTAGAAGTTACAGATTTAATATTTCAAGGAAAATTGAGTGTTCCTAATGGCAGGAAGAAACTCTGGACTTCAGTGTTTGTCAAGCTCAAATATATCTTGATATTTTTCTCTGGTTCTGAAGTGTTCTAATATTATCCCAGGTTTATGCTCATCTCTGTGCTATTTCAGTTTATTCAGACCACAAGATTCTGAGCCTTTCACATTCCATTTTTCAAATGCATTTCAGATTTTAGTTATCTTTCCCAATTCTCAAAGTAATTTTAAGTTTCAGTTAATAATGAATCATTAATCAGTAAACAGATAATTGTATCAGTATCACTTCAGTTTCTACACTAAAATACTGTGTTGTCTATTTATGTTTTGTGTCCAGTAATACAGGACACACACTACAATACTGTCCAATAATTTCAGTGCTAGGTGTCATTGTATTTTGTGCCTGGAATAACAGGAAAAAGGCTTTCTGTTGCCTCTTTTTACTGCATATTTTTTGTATTCAATAAATCCAATTTGGAGCATTAAAAAAGAGAGAGAGAATTTTAGCATATATAGCAATAAATTGGGGACAACACTTCATCTGCCCTGCTAATGTGATAATCAGTGGAAAGAAAGCAGAAATATGCATCCCGGAGCTGGCTCCGTCCCTTACCTTGCCATTGAGAACGATGTTCTGACTTCCACACAGTACAGACTGGCGACTAACTTTGTTCCCAGATGCCTGAAAGGAAAGAGCAGAAAAACGAGGTGAGCAAACTGAGTGGGTTCTGGGCTACAGGTTTCCATCAAGAAAGCCCATACTGGAGAGAAAAGGACTTGCAATGGGGTGTCGTCTGCAATGGAATGAGTCAGGATATCAAAAAAGCAAGGATGAATTAGGAACTTAGGGATTCAAGGAACAGACCCAGAAATTGGATGTGGTACGTCTAGAGCCTAGCGGCAGCTTCTGTACTTCGGTTTTACAGCCCTAAAAACAGGATAATGACTTTACCAATAGCATAGAGTTGTGAGAATTCAATGAAAAAATAGAGTAATGCTGACTGAGCACGACCCCGGTTTCGAGCAATTAACACACATCTACATCTAGTTTGTATTGACTATAAAGAACCTAACAAACAAACAAAAAAGAACCTAACAGTCTTTAGCACGTAGTAATAAATTAGGACATGTTAGTTTTTAAAAAAAAATTTTTTTTAAAGGCCTGAAGCCCAAAGCTGTAATTATCAGGATGGATGAGACTTGTCCTGCTTTCTGGACGGCGTTTTATCTCTACGGGGAGGAAATCAGGAATAAATTTTAAAAAGCCTAAACTGGCCATGCAAGGAATGCATAACAAAGCCAGACCATACATGAACTCTCACTGTGTAATTTGGACTAAACGCCAAAGGGACCTGGGGTGGGGCAGGGACAGGATGGAGACGGCGGCCTCAGGGGATGCAGGCTTGGAGAGGGGAGGGCAGATGTCTGGACACGCGCACCGTCTCGATGTACTCGGACTTGTTGTAGAGAAGCTCGCCCAACTCCATGGCCACCAACTCCCCTGCGCAGCTCCGGCTCCTGTCAAAGTCTGTCTGCCTGTCTCTCCGCCTCAGACTCCGGCTACTTCCGGCTGCTCCTCCACTTCCGCTCTGGGCGGTCTGCGGTCTCATCCATAGCTCGGCTCTCCGCTAGCTGGCCTCGCTCCATTGCTCTGCGGTCTCTGACTGCGCGTGCGCAGGCCGAGTGGCGGATGTACTTGGAAGGCGTGATTGGTGCACCCAGCCCGCGTGGGCCGGCTGACCGTGGGCTGACTGGGTCCCGGGCACCCCGTACCTTCCCCGGGAGCCTCGGGGCCTAGGGCCAGCCGGGTTCCTCGTATCCGCAGGCCCGGGGCCAGCGACAGATGCTCTTTTTGTTGGCCGCCGGCCAGATGGAAGAGCCTCCTGGGAAGCCCCTCAGCTGTGAGGAGAAGGAAAAGGTGCCGGGGATGCGGGAAGGGTTGACTCAGAACTTTGACCCCCTTTCCTAGGATTTGAGGCCTGTCTTTGTTTCCTCGACTATCAGAGGGCGGCAGTGACCTCTCACCCACTTCCCTGGACTGAGGGGGCACAGGAAGTGAAAGTGTGGGAGAGCCCTGTGCTTCCGTGGTGGCGTTTGAAGAACGAAGTTTCTTTACAGCAGAAATGCAAGAGTACAAAATGTAAAACTGTAGATAAAGCTAAAGTTCGCTTTGACACCCTCCCCAGCCCACCTTGCACACTCTCAGTCTTGGCTTCTCCCACCCACCCCCTTAAGTAAATCTCTTAAGAATCTGGATTTCAGACCTTTTTGTGCACCTGTGTGTGTGTGTGTGCGCGTGCGCGTGTTGAACGGGCGGTGGGGGTGTGCAGTTGTGTTCTTTAACCACCAAAAAGTAATACATTTTTTTAGAAAGGTGAATGTTCGTAAATGGTATGATCCGGATGGTTCTGCAACTTCCGTTTTCCTTCTCCGTGTTTAACATCCACATTAGTCCATGTTTACCTACCTTATTTATTTATTTTGCGGTACGCGGGCCTCTCACTGTTGTGGCCTCTCCCGTTGCGGAGCACAGGCTCCGGACGCGCAGGCCCAGCGGCTATGGCTCACGGGCCCAGCTGCTCCGCGGCATGTGGGATCTTCCCGGACCAGGGCACGAACGCGTGTCCCGTGCATCGGCAGGCGGACTCTCAACCACTGCGGCACCAGGGAAGCCCACCTACCTTATTTTTAAAAGTTTTTTATAGTATTCTGCAGCGTGGAAGTGCCGCCTTTTCTTTACATATTACTCTGTCGAGAGCCGTTGTTTGCAGCTTTTCTTTCTACAGCAGTGCTGCTCTGCATATCCTTATACATGGCACTTTGTACGTGGGCCGGCGAATGTTAACTTGAATGCATCTTGGGCTGGCTCTTCCAAGCATCGTGCTGAAACTCTTCATTCACAGTAACTCATCAGTCCTCTTATCCCATTCTGCCTTGCAGTGGGGGTGACAGAGGTCATTTACAAGTCAACAAGCTAATTCCCAGACGTTGATAAGAATGGTGATAAGTAGGAAGCTGTGAGAAGCAGTCTAGGTGTGAATCATGCCGTTTATGAATTGTGTCATCTTGGACAAATTGCTTTCCCTATGATCTTCCCAAAGCTAGCTCTTTCCTCCTTCAGGTCTGGGCTCAAATGGTAGTCCCCAGAAATGCCTTCCTCACCACTGTCTCTAAAGTGTCCATTCTCCTGTAGCCCAGACACTCTCACATCACCCTTTTTGTCTAGGTATTGATTACCATGTGAAATCATCTCACCTGTTTATTTGTTTCCTTGTTTATTACCTGTACCCCTCACTATGTATAAGCTGTGTGGGAGCAGGGGTCTTGACCACTCTGTATACCTAGCCCCTGGAACTGTAACTGACACACGGTAGGTATCAGTTATTGTTCTAGGTGCTGGAGATGACTGATTCATGGACCAATACCTGGACCAATGACTGATTCATTAGTCGAATGACTGTCTGAGGATGACAGCCCCTGCTGCCTTCAAGGATCTCACAGTGAGATGGGAGGAAACAGAAGTAAACAGACAATATGTGTAATAAGTACTGTGATAAAGCAAGCACAGAGGAGAGATGGAATGCCTAACTTGGATTTGGAGAAGGACCTAGAAGTTTACCCCAGGGAAATAAAAATCTAAGCTGAGGCTTGAGGAATCAGTAGGAATTAGCAAAGTGAGTTGGGGAGGAAATGCTCCAGGTGATAGGAACAACTTATGCAGAGATGCTGAGATGTTATAGAGCTTGATGTTCTGTGAGAACTGAAAGTAGAATAAGTCAGCGCCGCTTCCTCCACTGCCTCTAGATGAGGGGCCAGCTGGGCGCCGCATGCTTGTGTCTGATAGGCACTGCATCCCTTCTCTCTGATGCCTCCTTTCCACCTGCTCAGTTTTGTTTGGTGTTTTTCTTCTTCCAGTTGAAGGAAAAATTAGCATTCTTGAAAAGGGAATACAGCAAGACACTGGCCCGCCTTCAGGTAAGTGAATCTTATTCTCTCAAATTGGTATTGTGGTACAAAGAATATAAAAACAGCTCTTCGTTTAATAAAGCTTTTAACCAAAATTTATTTCTTTTTTGTAAAATTGTTTCGTGAGCTGCTCTTGTTTTCTCTAGCGTGCCCAGAGAGCTGAGAAGTTTAAGAATTCCATTAAGAGAACAGTAGAAGGACAAGATTCCTCGCTCCAGCAGGAAGTTTCAACGCAGCTAACCGACACAGGTAAAGCGAGCCCATTCACTTATACTTGCTTTATTATTTATTTCCCAGGTAAATTTGGCTGTGGTTCTTTTTCTCACAGTCAGAAGATAAGCAGTAGCAGTAGAGTCTTTAAAGTGTACAATTCAGTGGTTCTTTGTATATTCAAAAAATTGTATAATCTAGTCACTATCTAATTACAGAACATTTTCACCACCCCTAAAAGAAACCCTGTGCCCATCCTACCCTTAACCCCTGGGCAACAATTAACCTCCTTTTTGTCCCTGTGGATTTTCCTATCCTGGACATTGCATATAAATGGAACCATACAATATGTGGCCTTTTGTGACTATCTTTCACTTAGCATAAAGTTTTCAACTGTCATCCATCCATCTATACATTCATCTAAGCATGCATCAGTACTTCATTCCTTTTTGCAGCTGAATAATATTCCATTATATAGATGTACCATAATTTGTATATCTATTTGTCAGTTAATAGACATTTGGGTTGTTGCTACTTTTTGGCTATTATGAATTTTGGCCATTATGCTGCTATGAACATTCATGTACAAGTGTTTATGTGGACATATATTTTCAGTTCCTTCAGGTATGTACCTAGGCGTGGAATTTCTAGGTCATACGATAATTCTATGTTTAACTTTTTTGAGGAGCTGCCAAACTGTTTTCTACAGTGGCGGTACCATTTTACATTCCCACTGCAATGCACAAGGGTTCCAGTCTCTCCACATCCTTGCTAATACTTGTAATTTTCTATTTTTAAGATTATAACCATTCTGGTAGATATGAAGTGGTATCTAATTGTGGTTTTGATTTGCATTTCCTAGTGACTAATGATGTTGAACATCTTTTTGTGTGCTTGTTGACCATTCGTATATCTTCTTCAGAGAAATATCTCTTCAAGTCCTTGCCGATATTTTAATTAGGCATTTGTCTTTTTATTGGTGAGTTGTAAGGGTTCTTCATATATTCTAGCTATTAGACCCTTATCAGATACATGATTTGTAAATATTTTCTCGCATTCTGTGAGCGGTAAACTGTATTTCAGTTGGATTGCATATTTAGTTGCTCTTTTCCTCTCTTAACTTTTAGCAATTATATTTATTGCTTAAATATTGGAAAGATGACTTTTTTTTTTTTTTTTTTTTTTTGCGGTACGCGGGCCTCTCACTGCTGTGGCCTCTCCCGTTGTGGAGCACAGGCTCTGGACATGCAGGCTCAGCGGCCATGGCCCACGGGCCCAGCTGCTCCACGGCATGAACCCATGTCCCCTGCATCGGCAGGTGGACTCTCAACCACTGCACCACCAGGGAAGCCCGGAAAGATGATTTTTTTAAATTATATATGCACAAAGAAAAAAGTCTGGCTGGGAACATTTTAATAAAAAACAATAATCATTTCTTATGTTAGAAGTCAGGTAATTTATAATCATAAAATTGGAAGCTAATGAAGTAGAAAAGTGGTATGAGGGGCTTCTCTGGTGGTCTAGTGGTTAAGACTCCTCGCTTCCAATGCAGGGAGCATGGGTTCAATCCCCGGTCAGGGAACTGAGATACCAGATGCCGTGCAGTGCGGCAAAAAAAAAGAAAAGAAAAGTGATATGAAAATTACTTTAGCCAAAAAAAGACATGGGGCTTCCGTGGTGGTCCCTTGTAGGGACTCCCCTGGCGGTCCAGTGGTTAAGACACCACGCTTCCACTGCAGCAGGTACAGGTTTGATCACTGGTCAGGGAACTAGGATCCTGCGTGCTGCACGGCCCAAAAAAAAGAAAAAAGGAATAATACTGTATTGTATACTTGAAATTTGCTAAGAGAGTTGACCTTAAGTGTTCTCATGACACACAAAAAATTGTAACTATATGAAATGATGGATATGTTAGCTTGATTGTAGCAACATTTCACAATATATACATATACCAAAACATCACATTAAATATGTACAATATTTATTTGTCAGTTGTACTTCAATGAAGCTAGAAGACAAAACTAAGAGAAAAGATGATTGCAATAAATCTTTTCGGGCTTCCCTGGTGGCGCAGTGGTTGAGAGTCTGCCTGCTGATGCAGGGGACACGGGTTCGTGCCCCGGTCCGGGAAGATCCCACATGCCGCGGAGCAGCTGGGCCCGTGAGCCATGGCCACTGAGCCTGCGCGTCCGGAGCCTGTGCTCCTCAATGGGAGAGGCCACAACAGTGAGAGGCCCGGGTACCGCAGAAAGAAAAACAAAAAACAAACAAAAAAAAATTTGAACTTTGATCTGTCTGAACGAAATAGCATTGACTCTTTTAAATAAATGTTTTGTAGTATTTATATGTAATATTTAAAAATAAATATGGGGTAGTTTTTATGTCATTTTAAAAGGAAAATATTAACTATATAATTTTTT